GGTTCACCCGGCCGGGCAAGCGCTTGGTGGGGCGGCGGGCCCGGGACCTCCCCGGCGGGGCTGAGGGCGCGGGGCTGCCTGCCGGGAAGGGGTTTAGCCCGGTAACCGTCTCGCTTTCTCTTCAGGGTCGCAGGATGCTGCTCACGACCTGGAGACGATGAGAAAGTATAAGGTAACATTACACGGAAAGGCACCTTGCGTAGTGCTTGCTAACGGATTTCTGTTTTAAGTTAAAAAGTCTAAAATATTCTCAAATAACTTTTAAGAGAAATTATGGTGTATCTGCACTTTTAAGAGGCTGCTCCATTTGCAGATGGGTGGATGCCTGTGAGCTTCTCAAGAAACAGAAATACTTTGCTGCAAGGCTGATGATTGTTTAGAGCAATTTTTCTGGAAGGGATTCCTGCATTGCCATATGTGGCTCAGTTTCAGACGCTCAGCAGAATCAGGCCGCCTTGACTCACGGGGATTGATGAAACAAAAAACCCTCAAAGCAGCAGCTCTAAGTCTGTCCCGAACTTTGGTCTTTTTCTCTGTTACAGTAACGGGGTGATAAGGCCTTCGGACAGTGGTGCTTCTGCAGGACAGGGAGTGCACCAGTCTGGCATCTGGTGCCATCTAAATGTCACTTCACTGTAAGTTAAGATAACCCACAACCTGGCCATAGCCTGAACAAAGATGGCAGCAGGCTAGAGGTGATCTCCCCTGCCTGGTGCAGGTATAGTTTACTCTGAAATCCTTCTGCTCCAGCAAATGGTGCAAATGGGCAACTCAGTAGAAGAAACATCAAACTGATGTGTTAGGGCAGACTTGAAATTTGGGGGATAGTTGGGTGGTCTGTCTTTTCATTCCTATTGCTTTCTCTTTTACTTTCCATCTATGTACTGACAACTCTCTTTTTTTATTGAAAATCTTTACTTTACCCAGTGTTTGGTTGAGCACAGATCTTTTAATTTCTTCTTAAAAAAAAAAAAAACCCCAAACAAGAAGAAAACTGATTTTTATCACAATATATTTTAACACAGCAGTAAAACTTTGATTGGAGAAAAGCACACCATAGACAGCATATGTATGTACAACAGTGCAGTTGTGTAAATTATAACTGGTGTATGCCTGAAGAAAAATCCACTTTTGCTACTGCTTATTTTGCTTGCTGTCTTCATAACATACCTATTTTCTTTTCCCTTTTGTTTTGGACTTAGGTTACGCATGTTCTAAACGTGGCATATGGAGTCCAAAATGCCTTCCTCAATGACTTTATATACAAGACCATTTCTATTTTGGACCTCCCAGAAACTGATATTATCTCCTATTTCCCAGAATGTTTTGAATTTATTGAGAAAGCCAAGATCCAGGTACAGTATATCAATAATTAATGCTACTGGTTATCTGTTTAGCTTATTTACTACCCTATTTAAAATCTGAAGCAGCATCTTTTTTCAAAAGAAAGTATGGTACCAAGTAAATAGTTATGCCATTGTCTTTTTGAATTTCAGATAGAGAATCCACGTAATTTCTAAACATTCCTAGAGATGTGGCACTGCTATCAATCCAGATTCCCTCCAGTGTTGCTTTTTTAGAATGACTGTATTTGGATGTTTTAGAGAAATGCTTCTTAAATACTGTTGGAGCAGTGGTTGACTTCACATGAAGAAAGCTCATTGTAACACCAAGTAACTACATCTGACAGAGGGAAACTTTTTTTACTTTCTATAATTTCTCCATCAGGAATGTTGTTTCAGATTAGCAGAAAGCCTAACAGGGCTTTTATGGATCTGTGTGGTTTGTCAGCAGCTGTCCACCATCCTGGTGTTTTTCCTTGATGATCCATTGAAAGTGCAGCACTTTGAGCTATGAATCCATATATAATTATGTACCAAGGCTGTCAGAGAATGTGTTAGTAGTCTTGGAGCCAACCAGTGATTTAACTGCTAACAAAATCCTGAAAAAGACATGACATAGGAAATAGGGTGATGGGACTCCTTCTGGGGTTGCTTGGCAGACGTGTCCGTAACCGAGACCATCCCTGACTCATATTTGTTAAATTGAGGCTTACTGTGTAATTCATGACAACCATTGCTTTGGTATCAAAACTATCACTTGACAACCAAACCCTACTGCACATTACTCCACCATATCTACCATATTCATTATTTACATAGATTGGGATAAAAGAAGATAATCTTGTCCCAGCTTTCTTTGTTTCATGCAATGTTCTTTCCTTCTCTCATTTATCATTTACGAGCTATGTGATATGCATTGTCACTTAATGACCTTATCAGGGTTTCTAGTTACGGTTTCCACTTTGTTTCTAAATGAGACTTGCCATTCATAACTGCATAGTGTTGCTTTCTGCCTTTGGTGTTTATGTGTCAGTTACTATTTTGTAAGATAAGGTGTTTTCCTGAAAACTTTTTATCGCAATATTAGTAGTTTTCTAATGGGACAGTTGGGTGAAAGAGCAAGTAATTGGTGTAGTAGATATTCTCCAGGGTCAGTTCACAAAGCATGTGATAGTAGTATGCAGAGAGAGATCTCTGGATGGTTTGATTCACTTCATTTGCTTTGTCAAAATAGTGCTAAAAGAGCTTATGATAAATTGTATCATGAAGTGCTTTTCTGTTTTAAGTACTCGCAAAGAGATACTACTGCTTCATCTCCTAACATGGGAGAGGGAGAGATGCTCATTGGTGAGACAGCACTTCAATTTGAGAATGCATGTAAAGCCTGCACTGTTCAGTAAGTTACTGTCAGTTGGTACTTGTAACAGGACTGACTTTTCTAAAACTGTAACTGCTCAAGTCTGTAGACACCGTGGTACAAATTCTGATACTGATCAGAGCTCAGCTTTTCTTCTAGGCTCCAAACTGGCAGGCAGATTTTCCATGACATGGTAGGTGACCCATGTCAGATCATAGTGCTATGAATGAGGGATATTATTCTATCTTTCTGTTTAATATCTAATTGTAAAACGCCTAAACTCTTGTCTTTCCAGGGAGGAAATATTAGCTCATTCATGAACATCTTTCCTCATTGCTCCCTCTGTCCCTCCTAAAGAAAAAACCCTGGCACCACTGCAAAGTAAAGTGGATCCCTAAGGAACTACATTAACCTATGGCTCTTCACCAAAAGCTTTATGTTTCTTTTTAATTTCTTTCCTTAGTGAGGCTTTTTGCCCACTGTGTATAAGCACAGTATAATCACCTTTTCTCTTGGTGGAAAGTGATTTTGCTTCCCTGTATATAAAAATCTTAGAAAAACAACTCGGTCTTGAATCTTAAGAGGTTCTGGCAAGGCTATGGACCATTTCTGGGTAGGTGAAGGTTAGGCTATCAGGATCAGAGCAAGGAGTTCTTGGTAAATAGAGATTAACTTCATATTTGCAATCTGTTTTTCACTTTTATTCTGTATTCATATCTAACACAAAATTAGTTAAGAATTACATGCCAAATTCATCTTTGTATAAAGAAACAACCGAGTTCAGCAAGGAAAGATAAATGTTCTCAGTATTAAATTCGGTTTAATGTTACTACCCATGTTCGATATTTTTCAGGTCCATTCTGGGGATATCACTATATAATTTTTGGCAATGTACAACAGAACACTCATTTAAAAAAAATATTTAAAATGTGAAAAAGGAAATTAAAGCATGGCCTGTGCAAGGAAAAACAAAAAGGATTACTTTCCATGCTTTTTTTTTTTTTACCCTCAGTGCCACTGTTAGATGTAGATCTCAATTATGGTGTGTTATATCTAAAATAACTCCCTTTAAATCAGTAAAAACTATTCCAGATCTACAGTGGATAAGCTTCAGCAATTGCTTCCTTAACAGTGGCATAAATTTAATTTTTAGTGTCATAATTTTAATGCCATTATTATAAAGGAGATAGTGGATTTATGGGTCACCACTGGTACTTCCTCAGGTAGCTGAAATACATGTCTGCTTTGCACTCTGCTGTAGTCTGTGTGGTCAGGAAGTGTTCTCTTGTGAATATGAGAAAGGGAATGAAGATGACAATTTCCACCAGACAAAGGGGTTGTGATTTCTCTCGCAAAAAAGGGTGGTATTGTGATTCATTGTGCTGGGAGGCAGGAGCTTAGATTCAGTTCCTAGCTCTGCCATAAGCTTGTTGTGTTACCCTGAGCAAGTTATTCTTCTAGTCTCAGCTTGGCATTTCTTCAACAAGGATAATGCTCAATTTCATGCCTTTTTGTCTTATTATTTAAACTGGAAGATTTTTGGAGCAGGAACCATTTTCTGCTCAGTGCATTTATTAATATATCAGGTAATTGCAACTCCCTAGTCTGTAACACAAGTCATAAAGTTCCTGGAACAGAACCCTATCGATTACAAGGTCTTTTTTTTACTGTGGGTAAAATGGCCATTGAGTAATCTGTGCCTGTTAAGGGCAGACAGAGCAGGACATTTATATCTAGAATGTATTTGTTTAGCCTCAAATACCTGAGCACACTGTGTTGTATTTCAGTATCTTTTTTTTCAGAATATGGAGATACTAACGTCTTTTTTTGTGAAACTGGTGTTTGGCAGTTTGGACCGAGCCTTTTTGAGGTCATAGTCTGATGTACAAACATGACAACAGCACAAACCAGCACAAAACTCTAGTGTTGCAAACATCACCTAAGCCACACTAGATTGTCTAGTTGTCTGTAACAAAACTTGCAGTGTATTTTCAGAGTCATTCAGGTGTCTCAGAGATAGTATGGGAAATGTTTAAGTAGGATAAAAATATTAATTTTATAGATACAGAATTTAATCACCAGGAGAAATATTTGTGAATTTACGGGGAGGTTTAGTAGTGTTCCATTTTGAACCTTAGTCCCCCATTAAGGGACCTTTGTAGTACCAGCTGAACCAGCCACTACAGCTGTACCAGTGGTGTGATGGGGAGGTAGAGATTTGTTGCAAATCACACGATATCTTTTCTGATTTTTCTGTTTCTATGCATGATCCTGCTTACCCAGAATCTTCACTGAAGAACTCAACAGTACGCAAGAAGCGTGCGACTGAAACAACAAGATGTTCTAAAATCTGCCTCAGTGCCTAGCTGTTTGCTGCCTTGCTATGTTTTTAACCTGGTAACAAGATACAGTCAAGTTCCTTTCCATATTGCAAATAAAATCTATTTTAAAATTGGTATCCAATTAGATCAGGTATCTTAGTATCCCAGAGGCAGTGATTTGGTTTTTACAGGAGGGGGCTGCTGCACAGTCGTGGAGAAAGGGACAGAGGAATGTTTTTTAGTTCTAATGAATTATGTAGAAGAATTTGATAATTATAAAGTGACTTTGGTTAGAAAAATATTTAATACGGGGTTTATATATCTGTGTTTGGAGTTACTTACATGTGTAAATATCTGCTTTGAGCTCAGCAGGTAGCTTTTAATAAGTCTTGATAGATTTTTATATAAAGTTTTAAAGACTTGTTGCTATATACTTAATGAATATCCCAACATGTCTCATTTCTTTCTTGAAGGATGGTGTGGTACTGGTCCACTGTAATGCAGGAGTCTCCCGTGCAGCCGCAGTAGTCATTGGTTTTCTAATGAATTCAGAAAGACTGAGTTTTGCTAGAGCCTTTTCCTTGGTGAAAAATGCAAGGCCTGTGGCTTGTCCAAATCCTGGCTTCATGGAGCAGCTTCACAAGTACCAAGAACAGAATATAAAGGCAAATGGAAGCATAAATGATCATGACTGATCAAAAGGGAGAAGTGAAACATCATGTTTTGAGTATAGAGTAACAGATGTTGGATGTACTCTGTCATTTTGCAGTCTCATTTCACATGTGCATTTTAAAGTCTTCACTTTTTTTCCTTTTTCTTATTTCCTCTTGACCCCTCTCCTATTTTTTTTGGCACATAATCTTAAGACCAAATGGGATTTCACTACCTTCGGAGATGATTTTGACCAAGAACAAGCTCTTTCTAGGCTACTAATAAAAAGATAAAGTTCAGTTTTCCTTGTGTTAGAAAAAAACAGCTGTTTTTTTATTGAACTGTCAGAAAAGGCAGGCAGTAGAGAAAGGAAATAACTAAGTTGCCTGGCCTGTTTAATACTAAACCAAATCTGTGTGTTCTAGTTGGTTGTAAAATCTAGGTAATGAAATGTTCATATAATAAAGTACCTTGATATTGGATTTGAAATGTCTGTTGCAACTAGAGAGGATTTTACTGAATTTTGTGGGCTAGCCAGCCATTAAATAGTTTTGGAAATTAGATGGTCTTTTGAGGCTGTTCAAAAATGTATTAGGATCCTATAATGCTTCAAGTCTTTTTGCTGTTTTTCATCAGGTAGTGATATGAAATGCACTAGCACATGATGTTTCCCAAGTGCTGGAACCAGGCTATGAGGGGTTTTTTTTATTAGATGATTTTGGTGGAAATACAAAAAATGTTTATATTGACCCATCTGTGACTTGTTGCTACTGCCTCTCGTGAGCATTGGGGCATCATTTGCTGTCCCCTCGCGCAATTCCACATCATGTATAAAGAACAGACATCAAAGGACAGGTAACTTTGACACTCCTGACCGATTTCAGGCTGGAATGGCACGTTTAAAAAACCCAAAAGATTTGAATGGTATTTTTTGTGGCCTTCATGCCGGTTCTAAAGGGTTTGACATATGAATAGCCAATAAAATAAAAAGAATAGTGTGTTTGGGTAAAATCTGTGCTAAAAGTGATTTGAACGGTTTGGTTGGAAGAACAGATAGATACTATATCCCAGCATGGCTAGTTTGAGATGTAGCATGTCATATCCGTAGGAACTACCCTGAGCCATGTTCGCAGTCTTAAGGACTCGTGCCTACACAAGGTTTAGATTCCCCCCCGCACCTGATGGCTATTCTGTGGTCATCATTTCCCCGTTCCCATTTCGGATGCGGGTGGCAGTGTGTGCTGTCAGCCTTGGAAGCCGCTTTTTCCCCTGGTGAGCGAGATTTCCCGGCTCCTCCCAGCGGCAGGTTTAGGAGCGCTGAGGCCGCAGAAATAATCCAGGAATAACTGCGGTTCCTTTAAGTCCCTCGTGTAAGGACTGTGGCGGGGGCCGCCAGGGAGGGCCGCTGCCGCGGGCGGGGAGAAGTGGGGGGCGGCTCACAGGGGACCGGAAGTGACGGCGGAGGGAGTTGCCGTCCGGGTCGAAGGCGCCCGGCGGAGCTGCTGGTAGATTTTCCCGCCGCCCGGGCCAACATGGCCGCCTTCGCCGTGGAGCCGCCGCCCGCAGGTAAGCCGGGCCATGGGGCCGCTCCCGCCCTCTTCGGCTTCACCGACCGCCGCGCCGGCTCGGTGGCTCCTGCCCGGCTCTTCTCTCCGGCGCTGCCCGCGCTC